CTAAGAGCCTGCAAGATTCAACGGATTGTTTTCTTAAGAAGGTGCAATCACAGGTTAGCTATCCTGAGGAGGGACCCCTCACTGGCAGACCCCCGAAGGGACTTGATTTTTTTCTTCCACCCCTCATCTAAATTCCTTTCATCCATTAGCCTCTACCCTTGGCGACTTTAACATTCATCTGTTCAACCAATATTCACTACACCTGCTAAGCACCAGACACTGCTCAGGTAAGGTCTCTGGCCTGCATTCTAGCTGTAAATTCAGGCTTATAAGGACCAGGACAGAGGAAAACCTGGGCAGCATGGGAAGGGACAATGTCACTGAAAAGCTGGAAGAGAAGATCTGAAGCTTGAGAGACAAGAGTTAACCAGACAAAAGTGGGTAGGTAGGTGGAGACAGAACATTCCTTTAGCCAAGGCTCAGAGGCTACAGTCCCAGGCATGAGTTAATGGGCACCAGTTGAGGGTGATCTGAGCTGCTTCTGATCTAATCCTTGGAGGGGAAGCCGAGGCCCCATGTGTGCACTCGGTCCTATCAAGAACATGCTAGAATGTTCCTTCAAGAGATCACAGCCATGGTGACAGAGTGCCATCGATGTCCTCAATGCACCGTCTCCTCCTAGTATGGGGGATGGGGTCAGAAAGCCCTACATCCCCACTCCCAGGTGGTCCAAGGCGCATCACAAGTCACAAACGGGAAGTCTACACAAATAAGTACTTAAAAGCAGTTTATCCCTAAAAAAAAAAAAAAAAAAAAAAAAAAAGTTGCCATCGTTAGAACTTAGGGAGATGTGAAATAAAAGTCTATATTTCAGGTTTCTCTTGAAAAAACACAATATCTGGTATCACTGGTCTCCCAGGAGGACAGCAGACTACAGCTAAAGAGCAGGGTCCCTTTTAGACAAAGCCAGAGCTCGCTCCCCGAGTCCCCTGCAGCCTCTGTCTGGCCATCCTCCTTCACTGCCCGCCTAGCCCTCCCTTCGCTCCTTGGCTGCCCACCGAACTTTAAATGGCCCCTCCCTGCTGGTGCTGGTAAAGAAAGCTGCCCTTGCTCCAACCTGCCCAGCTATAACCTCCTCTTATCTGATGTGCTCTGGGCAGCCCGACAGGTTTGCTGGACAAGGGTTGAGTAAAGGCCTGTCCTTGTTTATGGGAACAGGGGTGGAGAGTGGTAGAGCCACTTCAACTGGGAGCACAATGACTTGGAGCTATGGGTGCCCAGAGAAGCAGGCCCCTCTCAAAGCAGGGAAAAAGACAGGCAGCACATCTCAGTGTGCTTGTTTTGTGTAAGGTCATTATCCAGGGCCCTGATAGCCTCTTAAATCGAGTTCAAATGTTTTTCATGCCCGCTCTGCAAAGAAGTGGTGCAGAGGGAAAACCAGAACTCTCCAGAACTCACCAGGCTTGCCCTTCTCAGCTTCCCCATTTCTCTCTCTTCCTGGAAGGAGCGCGTGGGTTCATTCCACCCGTGGGCAGGATGGAGATAAGCAAAGTTGTTATTGGAAAATCCATTTCCCCACCCACTCTGTGTGTGAATGAGCACATAGCCCAGTTTGGTATTAATCCACAAGCAGCTGACGGAGCCAAGAGGTCAGAGCTCCCCTCCAGCCAGGGAGGTCAAATGTCTGGCAAGGAGGACGTGGTACATTTCAGCAAGAGTGGCAAAGATCAGACGTGAGTGCCTTCATTCATTCTGCGAAGACTTATGGAGTACTTCCTCCGGGCTACCTGACACCAGGAAGGGCTCTTGGACGGTGAAGACTTTTTGTTTGTTTGTTTTGTTTTTATTTTAAGTGGGCTCCACGCCCAGTGTGGGGACTTCAACTCACAACTCTGAGATCAAGAGTCACATGCTTTACCGATTGAGCCAGCCAGACGCCCCAGGGCTGTGAAGATTTTTTTTTTTTTAAGATTTTTATTTATTTGTCAGAGAGAGAGAGCACAAGCAGGGGGAGCAGCAGAGGGAGGGAGAAGCAGGCTCCTCACTGAGCAAGGAGCCCAATGTGGGAGTCAATCCCAGGACACTGGGATCTTGACCTGAGCCAAAGGCAGACGCTTAACCACTGAGCCACCCAGGCGTCAGGCGTCCGGGCTGTGAAGATTTTTTTTTTTTTTTTTAAGATTTTATTTACTTATTTGACAGAGAGAGCGAGAGAGCACACAAGCAGGGGGAACAGTCGAGGGAGAGGGAGAAGAAGGTTCCCTGCCAAGCAGGGAGCCCGATGTGGGGCTCGATCCCAGGACCCTGGGATCGTGACCTGAGCTGAAGACAGATGTTTAACCATCTGAGCCACCCAGGCGCCCCTGGGCTGTGAAGATTTTTAAGCAAAGGATTGAAAATCGTCTTTCAATGGGGGAGAACACAGGCTGCTCAGACGTTGTTAACTGCCGCTATCCCGGAGGCTCTAGTAGAAATACTCCTTAAATAATGGTTTCCTCCCAGTTATCAGAATGTCGGAGTGTCCTTATTCATCTCACAACCATTTCAGATTAACTTCTACTTAAAACTCCAATTCTCCTTTGTAGAGTATTTAAATATGCCAAGGGCTATTCTAAGTGGTTTAGATCTCATTTAAATCGTCCTCAATATTTTGAGATGGGTTCTATCCTTAGTCCCATTCTACAAATGGGGAAATGGGGGCGTGGTTGAAGTAACTTGCTCCAGGTGGCAGAGCCAGAAGGTAGGTGGTAGAGGCGAGATCAGACCCCCAGATGGCCTAGCCCCAGAGCCTGAGCCGCTAACCTCTGCAGCACTGCCTCACTGTGTGTGGAAATTGAAACCTTATCATAGGCCGGAGTCAGATTCAAGCAAGGGGAAGACTATTTCCCCACTTCTCAACCCAAATGACCTTCTGGTTCATCTAATTGAAAATAATGATAATAATTGTGCTAATTTGCCCTCTGTGATTGCCAGGATAATGGAGATGATTTAGAATCAAAAGCCAAAGAAAGGAACAGAGGTCATTTAATCTAACTCCCTAATTTCTGAGACAGGAAAATTGAGAGGCTTGTCCAAACTCACACAGCTAGTTAGGAAGAATCTGGACTACAACCCATATATCCTCCCTCCCAGCCCAGAACTCCTTCCACTGCATCATGCTTTGCTGGGCCTTGGTGCCAGTATGGGCCTGGAAGCCAGGAGTCCTCACTGTCCTGGCTCACGTAAGGCTGTTACAAGGCTGATGTCAGACTCACAGGGGAAGGTTTCTTCCCCCTGGGCTTGCTTGTTGAAGCATCAAGGCCTCCCCCACCCAAACGTCCTTATCAGAAGCTGGGATGGGCTCTTAATCGGCAACTCCCAGGCCTTGTCTATACTCTCCGGACAGTGCGTTATCATCCAGAAACAGCTGACCGAGCGCAGGTCTCCTAGGCTGGCACGGTGTTCCAAGTGTGGATGCTGGGAGCGGAGTGGACCAACCAACACCCAGTCCCTGAACACATGAAAGCCACCAGCCGCAAACCCTCAAACTGGGTCCACAGCCCCTGTACCCCGAGCTGGCCAAGGGGTACTTGCCGCTGCTGCTAAAATGGGTCAGATCTAAAGTAAGTAATACCCTGCTCGGTCACAGAACACTCCCGTGTCAGTTGAGGGACTGTCAGGCTACCAGGAGCCGAGAACAATCCCCAAATCAATCTGCCATTTTGCAGTCACCCTGGCTTGGAGACAGAGGTGGGTGACGATGTCCCCCTGACCTCCAGATAACCTTCCCTTTCGGGCTTTCTGCCAGACAGTAGGAACATAATGAAATCTCCTTCATGAGTGGAGCCTGTTAGGAAACAAGAAGGCAGGTGCTGACAAGAATAAAACACCGGGATGGGCAAAAATGCAACCTTAAGCCCATCCTTACATCCCCAAAGGCGGGTCCTTACAAATGAGTGCCTAGGACATTTCTGTTAGGAGCTACAGACAAAAATGGGACCATTCCTTCAAATAACCTCTTGACACAAGTGGGGCCTTATAACCAAGTCTATTTGTGAGACAGATGAGCTGGCTACACCCCCGGCCCCAACTCCTGCTTCTTCTACCCTCCCATTGTGCCATACACAGCCTCTCTGGTCTCCCTGCCATCGGGGACACCTAGGCCAACCGCAGGTTTGTTGAGGAGGGTCCTGGAGGTGTGAAATGAAGTGTGTTTTGATGGGGGGTGGTTCTGTTCATGAATCAATGTGTTCAAAATTTAAATACAGCCCACCTCTGGCCAGGAAAAAAAACTAGCCCAGGTCCATGATGTCCTTGTGACCTCCGTGGGAACTGCTGAGCTTGGTCAGTGGGGTTGGGGTGCAGAAGCCTGTGTCGAAACCTCATGGACAGAGCACAAGAGTCCGGGATGATGAAGACTATTCTCATTTCCTTGCATATGTGCGATCCATACAGCCAGAGGGAGTAACACATTGGTAACAGACCTCTGGCTCTCAAACCTTTGCTGTCAGGAGTAGACGCTCTCTAGCTCACTGGCAGCCTTGGTCTCCAGTCATACATTGGGCTCCAGTGCCCAGATCCGGAGGCCCAACTGCTCTTGTCTAGTAAGAGCGGAGGTACCAAATGCCAGTCCCCGGAGGTAATGGAGAGCCGGGACCTGGAACTTTCCCACAATTCTGTCCCAACCTGGGAAGGGGTTCAGTGTCCTTGGCTCACCACCTCAGTCTGAGACTTGGGCTATGAGTCTTATAATCATGTGTAAGAATTATCAGTGCCTCGTGCAGACAGACAGTATACACGTGCTGAATGAGTAAAATGAGCACAGCAGAAGCCTAGTAACAGAGGCATGAGACCTGGCCAGACTCAGGAGTGCTCAGTCTAGAACCCCATCCTGTCCAGCATTGTCACAGGGAAGTGATAACATTCATTAAAGGATGAAGAAAGGAGTCACACAACTAGATTTTTCTTTTATACCAGCCACATGCTATAGGTCTTCGGAATATCACCAAAGAGAAATACCGAGACACCAAGAAAGGATTTGGAAAGGCTGATGTGGGAATGTGACCTCTATACCACACGGCTTCATCTGCTACATTTTTATTAAAGTAACAAAAAAAGCGTACATTTGTCCATAAAGCTGTACATTCTTCCATATAAAAACACTATTATACAATTAGTAACCTTTGTCTTTTCTGTCAGAATAGCTTACAAACATAGGACTATTATTTTTACTTAATAGGAGAAACAGACCTGCTCAACAGTCCAGCTCTGGGTGTTTTGCTGTCTTTTAAAGTGAACATCAAAAAAACAAGAGAAGATCAAGCACGAGACCGTGAGGCTGCTTCTAAAAAGGCAGGGACCCGTTTGCAGACAAGATGCACCACCACAATCTGTGGGGATTCACAGCTTTGTTTCCACCCACAGGCCAGAAAAGGAGCTCTTGGGTCTGTGGGCCTGAAGTTACCTTTAAAGCAAGAAAGGCTGGAAGCAGGGTCTGGGAAGGCAGCTTGGAGTCTAGAGTTGAAAAGGGGGCAGAACTGGCAGGAATCGGTAGGGGGGGAGAGTGTTTGATAAATAGCACCTTTGTGTCAAAACGGAGTAGTTCAGGAATCCAGGGAAGGGGACTGGCAGTGGAGCAGGAACCCTCGCGGAGGCGGGGGGGGGGGGGAGGTTTCTTACTACGCTGGACAGGAGGGGAGCCAAGTTGACCAGATGCTCTAGCTATGTCCTTCTAAAGTGACTCGGGGTTGGGAAACTCAAGGCCTTCTGAGGGACCCCTCACTAATGTCACTGAAAAACCGAAGGAAAGGGGATTTCTTCCCAGTATGGATTTCCACGGGCTCCAACCCAGAACAGTAAATATTGCACAAGTCTACAGACAAACTTGGATTGTACTGAGACAGCAACTTCCCCACAGGTGCTCTGAGCACCAGGGAGGAAACAAAAACAAAAACAAAAACAATGCCCAGGATTGTGGCTTTTAGTGTCAGCCCTACAAGAATACCAAGTAGTCCTGCAGAACTTGGGGCATTCTCCCATTCAGCCAAGGAATACCTGGCAAGGCTGACCAGCCAGCCAGAGTCCCGAGGATGGAGGGAGAATTCCCTAAGCCCTCCAGGGCACCAGGAGGTTCTGAGAGCCAGTTCTCCTTCAGACTCTCCTGGGACCCAGGAGGCCATATTGCACAGTGAGTGAGAGCTCCTGTTCTGGAAAACTGGGTGGCTCTATGACCCAACCCGAAGGGGACAGGTGTGGGAGAGTCAGGGAGGAGTGTTGTGCTTTGAAAAAGAAGGCAGTAATAAAGAACCTGGAGTTCCCTGTAGCTTTTGAGCCAACTCCTGAAGGTATAATGGCAGCAGCATCAGGACTTCATGTGGTTCCAAAAAGAAGGTTTTGGCCAAAAACAAATATCCCCAAGTGGATACTCTTTGGGTCCCAAAATTCCATTGCAAATCACCCCAAGTTATTCACCACACACACTGACATGAAGAGCAGCACACAGCAAAGGTTTTGTGCAGAGTACCCTTCCGTCCCAACCCCAATAACCTCTAACTCCTGCCTTACTCCCCCGACCCCCCACAAAACAAAAAGCTTTTGTTTCCTGCCTGGGAAGCAACATCTACAGGCCCCTGAGCACAGAATCAGAAACAAGTCATGATTTCAAGAAAAGCCACTTAGGACAGAAGCAACTGGGAGAGGCCTTTTCACTCTCTGCCCTGGATCTCACCAGAAAAATAGAAGATGAGGCAACATAGCATCACTGAAGTCCAGGCTTGAATGCCCCTGAGGAGGAGAGGAGCCATGGATGCAGGTGTCCTGCTCTGGAGAGCGAGAGGTCTGAACTTGGCCTCTCTTCTCTCCGCCGCACAGCAGATCCTGACCGCTCTCATTCACAGTTGCTAACCTTGCTTGCTCCCTCTCACATCTTCCTGGGGGGCCAGCCAAGCTTTCCCCACCTCGCCCCTGCCAGGCCTGCCCCCTTACTACTCCCCACTCCTGTGAGGCAGGCACCAGCTCCCAGACTCAAGCGCACGACAGTTCTCTCCAAAGGCACCTGGGGAGGCCACTTCCAAGCAGCTCCCTTTAAGGATTTTTCTTTAAAAAAATCTTTTGGTTTTTTTTCTCCCCTTTTCTTAAAAAAAAAAAAAAAAAAAAAAAAAACCCTCTTCATTTAAAATACAGTTCCCCAGGTTGAGGTATGCAGTGGCCTGTTGTCACGGCAGAATGAGTACAGTAGAGTGCCTGGTGAGGGTGGCGGGGGATCTAACTGGAGACCGCCATCACGTAGTTCTTCGAGGGGCTGCTCCGGCCCAGCATCATTTGGTTCTTGCAGGTGAGGAGCCCATAGGAGGCAGCCACCGGGGCCTCCTCATACAGGACGCAGATGGAGCCATCCTCCCCGATGCGGTAGGACACTTCGTAAGGGTCCACCCACAGGGTCAGCTCGCTGGGCAGCAGCTGGCGCAGCTGGGGCTGGCTGAGTCCGATCTGGCTGGCCACCTTGCTGATGATGGGGTCCATCTTGTGGTTGATGCGGATGCAGCGGTAGCCTGAGCCCTTGGACGGCTTTTCAGGAAACCAGTGGTGTTTGTAGTGCTCTGTGGGGATGGAAGGAGAGGGAGATGCCCTGGTTAGAGCAGCTGGGCTGTGAAGGCCGCCACAAGGGGGGATGGGGATGAAGGAATAGGAGTAGAGGAAGGAACCCAGAGATTTTAAGTAAGCGACGTGGTTTCTCAGGAGTTCCAGGACCCTCCTGAAACCCTCCTGCCACTGAAGCAGAGAGCATTTTACAGGATTCCCCCCTCACTCCTTCTAGGACAAGGACGTGAGTGTGTATGGGGAGGGAGTCCCATAGCTCTGGGGCAATGCCAAGTAGCTGGTGTGTTGCTTTTGGCACACCGTTTAAGGAGAAGGGGTGAGACCAGGGAGGACATGTCCAGGCAGGGCCTCTGGAGACCTATGAGCTGAAGCTGCAAGGCGACCAAGGCTGCCATCACCGTCAGACCCACAGCAAGTCACTGTGTCTCCCACCCTGGGCCCCAGAGGCTTCCTCCGCCTCCTTCAAAAGCCAGAGAGACCTTCTGCAGTGGCTAGGAGTCAAAACCGGGTTCTTTTTGATGAAACATATGTTGCTCCTCAGAAGGCAGGGTCTGCATGGGCACGTTTGGAGATGGCTATCGCTGCTTGAGACCGGCGGCCAACCGGCTAGAAACAGCTGGGAGGTAGGTCTCTCCCCTGGCAGTCGCTGCTTATCTCTTGTCAACCTCCCGTTTCACGCCGCCCCCGCCCCCAGCACGCAGGCCAGCAGAGCGCAGGTACTACCTACAAGGCTTTCTCAGTACCATAATGGGTGGCAGATGGCTAAGGGGGGCCAAAGCATACAAAGGGGGCCGGGATCCCAACTCCGAACAAGTGAACAACGGGCCCGGGCACAGCGCAGCCCCGCGCCGCCGGAAGAACCATGGCTAAGGATCCAAGTTGTTGAGAAGGCTCCATTGCGCCTTCTTCCCCCATGACGACCCGTTGGCTGGCCGGGCTGCCTCGCCCCCGGCGCCCCCGGCGTCTCAGTAAGGGGAATGAGCTCGCACTCGGGCCCGCAGGTGCCTCCTCTCCCCGGACAGAAGCCGGCGCCTGGGCTCGCACTCCAGGACAAGGGTCTGCGTCCGCGACAGTGTGGAGGCACGCGCCCGACCAGAACCATCACGGACAGAGACCCGAGCGCGGGGCCGCACAGGGGAGACACGACCCAGGGGAATGGGGGGATGCGGGCCGCCCTGGGGCTGGAGGGAAACCGAGTCCCGGAGCTGCTCGCGAGGGGAGCCCTGCCCTAACAGGAGACGAAAAAACGGCCCAGGCAGGAAGGAGGGGCCCAGCGCCAGCGGCGGGGCTCGACGGAAGCCAGGATCCTCGGCGGGTGCTCACCGGTTAGTGCCTCCTGGAGAGCCCCGCTGAAAACCTTTAGTCTCTGCTCGCTCACGCAGCCCCGAGTCCTCAGGAGGCTGGAGAGGAAGCCCACGGCGGCGGCGATCTCCGGCAGCATGTCTGTTCTCTTCCCGGTCCAGCGGGCCTGGCTCATGTCTTGCGCGGCTCGGGCGGCGGTGGCAGCGGCGGGGAGCAGTGAGAGGGCTCCGGTGGGACTTGCTGGCTCGTAGGGCTCCTCTGTTCGCTGGGCCGCTGCTCGGGCTCTGCCGGGACTTTAGCCGGGACGCGCCTTTCATACTGTTCCGAGAGGCGGGGGAGCCCGCGGCGGCACCCATTGGCCACCGCCAGCGGATGGGGGCGGGGCCACACCCCCGCCAGCCCCGCCCCGCCCCGCCCCGCCCCGCGCGCTTCCCCTGCTAGGCCAGGCCGCTAGCCCCCGCCCCCGCCCCCGCCCCCGCCGCCTCCTCGGCGCTGAGGTCATCGCCCGCTGACGTCAGTGCTAGGAAGCCGAGCCGGGCTTGCGGGCCGAGGTGGCGCGGGGAGAAAAAGGGGAGCCGGGGAGTGGCCGAAGCCGCTCGGCGACGGAGAGCTGCGCCCAGTTCGCTCCACGCTGGGAATCCCAGGACCTCTCCTCTCCGCCAGTCCTTCAAGACTTAGGTCACCGGCCACCTCCCCCAAGAAGCCTTCCTTTGCTGATACCACCTCTCCCTCGCGGCTCCCACATTTTCCAGTCCCCACTGTCAGAACCACTCACCCGGACGTTTTGTCACCATGTTACCACTTTGCCGTCTTTGTTAAATAGGTTTCTCTAGGCTCTTCGGAAATGTGGACTAAGTCTTCTATTTACTTCGACAATAATCTCACCTCCCCCAAACAAGTTCTGCCCTTCCTCTATGCCAATGCCTTTTCTCTTGCCTAGTAGCATCCAAGTCTTACCTATTTGACGGCAGTGTTGTAAGACTTTTCTGTCCCCTCAAGTTGTTTTCCTAGCTCTCGCTTTCCTTTAAATGCCCAAATTTTTTACTAAGTGGTTTGCTCTCAACTACGCACGTTTTCCCATCTACTCCCTGTTCCTCCTCCTCCCTTCGGGGCCCAGCCCTCCCTCTCCTGTCCTTCCTCCTTGTGGATTGAAGCTTTTGTAAACACGGGCTTCTGGGTGAAAGAACCCAGCCTCAGTCTCCAGGGTCCACAGGCAGGACTGTGCTCAGGGCCCGGCACCATCACGGGGGCTCAGCAGATGTCCCCCTCGCTGGGGCTAACTTCTGACCCACATCAGGCATCTGGCATAGTAGGTGCTCCATATATATTTGTTAAATGATTCAAACCCAATGGCCTCTGTCAATTCTTATTTTTCTTGAACGCTGGGCCCTGCTGACCACCTCCGGAGGCAGTCCCTCCTCCTTTTCCTGGGCACCTGACGCCAGGCTTCTCAGCCTCCTTTCCCAGCTGTGTCAGCCCTGGATCCCCTCCTGCCCCTGTTCCCTCTCTGTGTTCCCTCACTCCTCTCCCTCTTCTCTCCCCTTGCCTTCCTCAGAGAAACCCTATTCACATTGTCCACTCTGATGTTTACTGTTTCACAACTGACTTTTGCGGCTGCATAGTCTGTGTGCTTTCACCCTGCCACTCCCATCACCCGCTCTGCCCCGCCCTTGGGTGTCCAGCCACCTCCTCAGTGTCAGTCCAAGCCCACTGTCTTCGCCTGTCCTGGAGATGTCCTGGTGTCCATTTCTGTCAGAGATACCATCACTTCCCCAGGCACTCCATCCTGAAAACTCACACTCACTTTTGACTTCTCCTTGTACTTTGCTCCTCAGATCCAGCTGCAAGACCTGTTGCTTCTTCATATCTAGATGATTGCAGTAGACTTGTCAAACCCTATCCCCAAGTTACCCTTCCCCCTGTTAGGAGAGCTGCATTCCCAAAAGTCTGCATTCACTTGCTCTTTTGCTCAGATTGTTCTGAAACACCCTCCACCCCCATTTGTCTACTGCTTTAAGTCTGGACTCCTTTGCCTGCTATTAAGATCTTTCATAATGTGGCCCCATCCACTTTTTTAGGTTTCTGCCACTTTGTGCTCCAGTGTCATTCTCCTCACTGTTCTCCAAGCATCAGAGCAGTTCTGCAGCCCAGAGCCCTCAACATGTTGCCCATGATCCCCATCCCTGCTCTGTAACATGACCCCCATTCCAGGTATGCCTGAAGATGTCTGGCTCTGCCGCACAGGGGCTCATGCCATTATGTCCTGGACACCTCACTGCCTCCTACCCACCTCTCCCAATCTCCCTCCCACACTCCTGAAGGTACAGCTGAAGCTGGGTCTTCCACCCTGAAAACCCGCACTGACCATTCTCCCTCTACAGAATTAATGTTATCTGTACCACTTTATGTGGCATTTATAATCTGTTGTTTGGTATTATTAGGGATATTTTTAGAGGTTGACAGCTTATCTCAACAACAGTCTGCAGGCTGCTTGAAAACAGGTTACCATGCTCATTTGTCCAGGACAGTTTAGATTTCAAATATTTTGCTCCACGGCTTCATCTAGCTCATTGAGATGCCCTGGAACGCATCTCTTAGATGGCCTCTTCACCAGCTCCTCCCCAAAGCTGGATCAGGCCAGATGAGACTCTTCCCTCTGCTTGCTGAGAGGAAAATGATTTGTTACAGAAAGCAGGCCTGGGAGTGGAAACAGGAAGACCTACAGTGCATCATCCAGGGAGACCAGGTGTCGCCCAGACCAGAACTGAGGGCAACTACCAAGGAAGTCAGAGAAACAGATCAAAGTATAGATCGGTATACAGGGCGGTTCACCACTTAAATCTGAAAATACTTAACATCTGGGTGGGTGTGTCTTTGACAAGGGTTGGGGGTTCTGGGCCTTGCTTTTGTCCAGAACTGATTTAAAAAAAAAAAAAAAAAAAAGTCTTTTGACAGACCATCACCTGTTTTTTGCCTTAGGAAGCAGAACTCTGTCATTATGTAGATTTTTGTATCACTCAGCAGGTCACATGTCATTTGTATCTTCTCAATAGAGCCAGACTATGGCTGCCGCATCTGCCGACTTCAAATATGGCGCCCTTTTCATTGGCCCATGGCGTCTCTGTGCTGTTGTTACAATGGCATGGCCCACAGTTCCACGTGGTCCCACAGAGCTGTTATTCCAGGTGATGGTGCGACAAACTGGGGGCAAACAGGGTGCATCTGGGGGAAGGGGGTCTTATCCCTGACCCTCCTCCATTACCCCGATGTGTCTTCGCCTCCTCATTGGTGGTTAGCTCCTGAACTTTGTATAGGGCATCTGTGGGAACCAGAAGGCGCTCCCCCCACTTCTCATCCTCTTTCCTTTCTACTCACCAGCCTATAGGGAGAAGAGGCTTAATTTATCCCACACTCAAAGTTCCCAAGTCACTATGCAGTGTCACTGTAATTGTACCCAACTCAGGATTTTCATTCTCAATCCATTTCTTATAAGGGCAAATATATGATAGTTGTCCAAATTATTTTTTGAAATTCCCTGAAACTGCCCTTCAGTTGCTAGGACCAGATCCTTAGAAGCTCAAAAGTCCAAGTTTCGCTTCTTCCCTTTGCATGTTGCGGGCTGCCTCCCGTTCCTTGGCCTTGTCAAGGTGTAGTTGGAGCACCGGGGTAAGGATGGTGGGTCGCCCCCTCCCCGCTCTCCTCTTCTTCCTGCTCCTCTTCCTCCTCATTCATTTCCCACCCCCTCCGCCCAAGGGACCCTGAGTTGAATTCTGAACATGCACTGCCCTGACACAAGGTGCTGACCTGTGACCCCACCCATTGCCAAGGGGGCATGCAGTGGTGGGGGTGGGGGTGGACATCAGCTTGTGCCTCATCTGGACCAGAAATTTCTGTGCCTTGTGATCCTGACCCGCTGACTTCCCTGGTCCTGGATGCCCATCTCGCCCATTTGTCTGGCCCACCTATGTGGCCCACTGTAGAGTGACATGCAGCATCCCACGCTGCCCTCCTCAGACCTAACCCCACCCCCAGAACAGGGTCCCTCTCCTTGGGCCTCAGCTCTGGCCTCGTCTGTGGGGTCATCACACAGGCCTTGCTCTCTACTCCCCGGACCATTGGGTGTGACGCTTGTCTTTCCCGGTGTCCTGTTAGGCCTCCAAGGCCTTGGCTTGGTCGCCAAGGGTACCTCTCAGTTTCCTGACCACATGTGGAACCCTGAGGTTGAGCGAAGCCTATCTGCTGGCAGAGACTGGACTGAGGTATTCTAGAAAGATGACGTCAGCTCACTCCCACACTGTGTAGCGTGTAGTTCTTGTGGGTCTCTGTGTGTACCAGCGTGGGGAGGGAGGGCAGCATATATGTATATCTGAGTGAGTTCACACTTCAGTGTGCTGTGTGCTCTGATGTTTGAGGGTAGGAGGGGATATAGCTATGTGTTTATAGATGTTAAAATGTACTTATGCGGCACCGGGGTGGCTCAGTTGTTAAACGTCTGCCTTCGGCTCAGGTCATGATCCCAGAGTCCTGGGATCGAGCCCAGCGTTGGGCATCAGACTCCCTGCTCAGTGGGGAGCTTGCTTCTCCCTCTCCCTCTCCCCCTGCTTGCGTTCCCTCTCTCGCTGTCTCTCTCTGTCAAGTAAATAAATAAAATCTTTTTTTAAAAATGTACTTATACTAGTATATATTGAGGAATGTCATTTCGTGAAGTGTGGATGTTTTGGTGGAGTGCGTGTTTTGGCGGGCAGAGTAGACTTGGCAGGGTATGTCTGAGTGTAGCTGGTATAGATGCTAATTTGATCTTTCCTCGTTTCAGACCTCACTGGTGACAACCTCACTCTGCTGCCCAGGGCTGATAAGAAACACCACCCAGGGAGGACCAGACGCCTCTTCCTCACTTCCTAATCAGGCTGGAAATACTGCCAAATATGTTCATCACTGTTTGCGAGCATCGCTGGGTCATGCCCAGGACATCTTTTGGGTTCCCTGTCATCTCACAAAGTTGTACCTCTCAAGAGCAGCCCTAGGCCAGCCCGTCTGGGAGTTATTCTTTACAATCAGAAACAGGAATGAAAGAAGAAAATGACATTGTCCTTCAAACCTGTTCGTGAAGACTGTATGAAACTGAGGATGTTAGCTCTTTTAAAAATTTCTGTCTTTAAACCCCTTCACCTGTCCCAAAGTGAACCGAGAACAGGAACAGAAATAGCTAATGCAAAGATGATTAGGGTTGAGAGTTAAGTGGAAAACTACCCATCTGGACTGAAGGAAGCCTTGGTAAAATATAAATATGTGAAGGGCTTCCTAATCCCTGGGTCACAACAACTTCCGAGTCCCTCAGGACCATTTCTGAGAACTTGTGGCGAAGTGGAGAAGAGTCTGAAAGCTAAAAAGTAACGCTTCCTCCACTTGCTCTAAAGATAGGAGCAAAAGAAGACTTAATGGTACCAAAAGCAGCTAACTTCGACAACAGAGTCACTTCCTGTTAGGAAGGTAAGGCTTATCTAGGATGTGCTCGCCCAGATGCCTGCTCCGGCCAGGACTCAGACGTTCTGGGGTACGGGGCATCTTTCCAGGGCGGGATGAGATGGCCACAGGGGGTGGCTGGGTGAAGGCTGCGGGCTCCTTCCCAAAGTGGCATCTAAGCTGGAAAGTATCAGAACCTCAGCAGCTGCCACCCAACTTCCAGATAATGAACAGAGACATCCATGGCAGATGCCAGCTTCCATTTGCTGCCACTAACCTGGGAGCCCACCAGACACCCAGTGGCTAAAAAACTCAGGGCCTCTCTAAGCCCCGGGCATACCCACAGGTGAGCTTGGGAGCCCAGGAGGCTCATGTTCCCCACAGCACAGTCCCTGATTTCTTCCCAATTTCCTCAACTCTCTCTCCCAAATGCCACCTGTGTGGCTTAGAAGCCACAAACTGGTAGCCCCTGAGGCAGAGCTGAACGCAGAGATATTCTGTCTGGCCCGTAGAGTGTTTTAAGTGTTTTAAAAATTAGTTGTCAACATTTAACTATTCGGAAGTGTCCTGTATTTTTAAACCCTAGAATCGTGATGATTTCTCTTTAAAAACCTGAATCTGTTAACACTGGTCCCACGTTCCTGCTCAGCGGTGACTGGCACCTAAGACCAGTTCGCCATGGTCCCTTCCCCTCGCTGTCACGTCCTTCTGAGGCCACGCAATGGTTACCATTTCTCAAGGAGATATGCTGGGTTTTTAAAAATTATACTATCTCCCGATATAGAATAAATCCCAAACCATCATCTCTAACCCCAACTTGACAACTGAGCTCCCAACTCCTGGTTTGTTTGTTTGGTTTTTTTTCCGACTGAGAACTGGACATCTCTGAAATATTCTTCCAGTATTGTAATCTCAACATGTAACAAATAAAGATCCTTTTCTCCCTTCTTCCCCACTTCCGATTTCTTTCTCAACTCTCAATGGCATTATGATTCTTTTTCTAGTCACCAGGCTCACAATCTGGCCGACATCTTTAACCCGACCCTGGATAATCAGTTGTCCAGGCTTACTAATTCTCCATCAGCAGCGCCTGGGTGCCAGGCTCTGGAGATTCAGGGGAGTGGTGGGTGTTGGAGGCTGACAGCAGGACATGGTCATTTGGCATCATGGAGTCGGGAGAGTGAGAGCCCAGGGACAGAGTGAGTTCAGCTGTTCGTACAGATGTTGAAGCTTCCTCGGGCAGCGGCAGGAGATTGGGGTAGAGAGAAAAGCTGGGGGGCTTGTGGGTGCAAGATCTTGGCTCAATGAGGAGTGAGCAGGAGGGCAAAGACAATGTTACAGGGGGACAGAGTAGACCTCAGAGAAGGTGATGGGGAACGATGGCCAGGGAAAGGTAAGGCAGAGCGAGGAGGACTCTGCCCCCCCTGCACGAGCCTGAGGGGTGTGGGGTGTGACACAGAGACAAGCTCCCCTGAGGGGGCCTTCGGGGTATAGCTGGCTTCAGTTAAGGTCACGATGTAACAAAAATGTTCAGAGGGGTTGAGGACATGGGGGAACTTGCTGGACCAAAGACGGCCTGGTGAAGGGGTCTGGAGGGGAGGCTGTGGGAGTCAGAGTATTGGAGGGCATGTACATAGTGGTATGTGGATGACAGTGTTTGCCCTTCGGACAGTAACCAGCGCCAGGAGGAGTGGGGATTTAGTCCTGACTGGGCTTTGGGAGAAAAGCGAACCCAGGGCCCCGGAGAGCCAGGCTCAGCCAGGAGACCTGAGACCCAGAGTGCTGGGCAGGGAACTGCCCCTTCTGCTCTGGGGGGAGGGGAGAGGACCTGGGAGACCACAGGGTTACCTCCATGGCTTGGAGGGTTGAGACCTCCAGGTTCTTGGACTTGGGCTCTTAGGGCCTGCTTTGTGCTCCCCAAATTCACCCCTTCATGCCCTCTACGTCATCGTGCACCATCACGTTGTCTCCTGCAGACTCACTCTCCTCCCTCTGGGAGAGAGCTGGGAAGTGTTATTAATTCATCAAACTTGTAACTGAGGCTGATGGTACGCCAGGCCCCATGGAGGGAGGGAATCTGCTCCCCCAAAGACAGCTTTGTCCCTGAGGGCTGCTTCTCAGCTGCTGTACCCTACTGACCCACTAGCAACCACAGGCAAAGGGACGCTCTGCTTTCCTCCCCTCCTTCGCCAGCCTGGCCGGCAGCAGGGGAAAGGCAAAGCAAGGCAAGGATGGCTGAGGGTATGTGAGAGAGAGAGAGTGCGTGAGGGGGGGGGGGGGGGGGGGGGGGGGGGTGGGGGGGGAGATGTGGACAGATGGCCAGACTAGTATGTGGCTGGAAAGGTCCCCAGTGATGTGTTTTTGCTTCTGTGACTCCCTAGGTGTATCATCCGAGCAAAAGGATGGAAACTATCTGTTAAAAGTCTATTATCCTGGAGGTCCCCCAAGAATGTGACCTCCCACACCTTCACCCTCTGGGCCTTCTCCAATGGTACTAGAAGGTGTGACTGAAAGTGCCGGAAACTCGCCAGGGGAACACATGGACTTGGGGGCAGAGGCAGATCTGAAGCTGAATTTATTGCCTCTTTCCCAAACTCAGAGGACAGACACGTTGTAAACCCTCCTCATCCTCACTCCTGGGGGCCCAGGATAAACCTCCTTCATCTCCAGACAGAAAACAAGAGGCCCTGAGATGATAGGAGCTTCCCCAGATGTTGTTTTGGCAGAACCATAATGGGGCCGGGCCTCCCGGGGCTGGGTGTCTGGGGCAGGCAGGATTCACAGCTGTGACAGCCCAGTGTGGAGAGAGGCAGACTCAAGAAAGAGGGACACAAGGAAGAATCTGCAGAAGAGGGCCTGCAGCATCCTGCCTCTAGCCTCCTGGCTCGGGGCCCACGGTATTTGTCAACTGTCCTGTGGCTCAGCCCCGGCTCTTGATCATATGGTTCCCATTTGATCCATATGGTTCCAGGGAAGGGGCCGGGTAGCCAGACTGGGAGCCACTGCCCTGAGCCTCAGTTTGCTTATCTGTGGCAAGAAAGCATGGCCAGGATTTCCACCCTGTCTCTTCCTTCATCTGTGATCTGTGCTCCACACTGCTGACTCCTTGGAGCCCAGTAGAATATGTGCTCACCAGATCTCCTGATTCGGTGACATATCTCCAGGGGGCTTACTGCCTGAGCTGATACCCCATATCCAGTTAGGGACCCAGCGCTGCTGATGATCCGTTTGAAACAGCTTCTACTCCACATCACTAAAGCTTCTGCCATCAGATCTCGCCTGGACAATCACAGCAGTTTCCTACACGGTCTGTGTGCCTGGAGTGCTCCGCTTCACGCCCTTTTCTCAGTCTATCCTCTGCTGTAAAAACTCCTTCTAACCACAGATTTATCTTTCTCTTCTGCTTAAAATCCTTTGAAGGCTCCTTACAGGAAGTTCAAATTCGGAGCTTGGCCCTCAAGGCCTTTATAATCTGGGCCAGCCACTTAGCTCAGTTAACCTCCTTCTCAGTGTTTCTTAAACACACACTTGCACTTTGATCCCACTGTGCCTTTGCTCATTTTATGGGCTCAGCCTAGAATTCTCTTCACTCACGTCTTTGCCCATCAAAAAGGCTGCTCACTCCTTCAAGACCTGGCTTCTGTGTCACCTCCTATGTGAAGCCTTCCTGGATTCACCGCAACCTCCCATTCCCCATTGCAATTAGTCACTTCCTCCTTTCTTTATAACTCCATAGCTCATAGGCTGGTGTTATAGTTCATTGTGTAGCCCTGTGAGATTGGGGTCCCTTGAAGGCGGGGTCTGGCTTATACCTTTGTACTTCAATGCCTGGCACACACCTCGGCCTTCGGCACACAGTAGGGACTCGGTGAATCTGGTTGAATTCATATCTCCATGCAAGTGATAGAGAGAGAACATTATTCTTCCCATATTAGTGAAGGAAAAAGTACACACGGACAGGATGATGGACATGTCAGAAAAGACACTAAAAGGGGCTGGGGGGCGGCGTGGGCCTGGGAAGGGGTGGGAAGGGATTCTAAATCTTACTGCCTACCCCCAACCCCAGCACCAAGAATAAGGTCAGTGGGGAGGAATCTCTGCAGATTAAGAATGGGTGGTCTCCGCTACTTAGGATACCAGCCCTGTTCTGATGAGGACTGACCTTGATGGTTCATAATTAAACTTCTGAACTAGCTTGTATTTATTCTAGTGTGGTGGTTAGAGCCCATGCCTTGGAGCCACACTGCCCAGATCCTAGCTGTGCCATCTAAAGCAAGTTATTAAAGCTCTCTGTGCTCAGTTTCTTCTCTTTCTTTCTTTTTTTTTTTCAGTTTCTTTATCTATAATATGAGGCTAACAGTTCTTACCTCATATAGCTGTTGACTTAAATGAGTTTACAGCACTTAGATTTGTGCCTGGCATATGATAGTGGTCAGTATACGTTAACTATTATTACTTATAATTTGAAGAATTTGAGACACCTTAAAATATTGAACCACACATATAAAAGAGGATAATTATATGTATATATTTATATTATATTAAAGATCAGAAACCAATTAGTAGTGTGAGGGAGAGAGATAAAGTTAGGTATTTGCTAATGTGTCTGAATTAGTTCCTTTATTGACCCCTTAATTATCTGTGAGATTCCAGGAAGCCAAGTCAAGAAAGGAATACATGCATTATATAGTCTTCATCGTAAAATGTAAGAAAGCATCCAAGTTGGCCTGTTAAAGTAACACCCCTTCCCAACACACACACACACACACACACACACACACACTGAACTCAAGAAGGAATTTATGGGGATGCCTGGGTGGCTCGGTCGGTTAGGCGTCTGCCTTTGTCTCTGACAAATAAATAAATTAATTAAAATCTTTAAAATAAAATTAAAAAAAAGAAAGAATTTATGGTTTGAATGCCTATGTTGGACTATTGGAGCCAAAGGATCCGAAGTTATTCTCAGTTGGCATTTAGTATCTTTCTCAATTGGGCTTTAATGAGAGCCCATGATGACAGTGGGAGTAATCAGAGTCAGGATAAATGGCCGGGAAAATAGCAATCAATATCCTTTCTATGTTTCCTTCTATGCTCAGCTTCCCTTCCACCCTCCCTCTTGGTTCAGGAAACTCCCTTGAGGTCAGGGGTTGAGTCCTCTGAGTCACGCAAGTGGCCAGATGCCTGCAGGTGCTTTCTGCTGCCTCCCCACAGCACTGGAGTTCTGTGGAAGCGAGGTGGGTCCCCTGGCAGCAACTCCCGAGGTGAGTGGAGAGAGGAATGCTATGAGATAAGGCTAAGAGCGTTTTGAGAAGGGGGAGCCCCCAGTTTGAGCAGAATGATGATCTTAGTGGGAATGGGTAAGCTCCTAGCAAGGTAACAACTCCCTGTCCCCCAGGTTTTGAATTCAAAGAATCTATGGTAAGTAAGCATCCTTATGTAAAAATCCAGGAAGGCCACCACCCCAGTCCAGCCTGGCCTGGCTTAGGAGGAGGGGCTCCGCTTAAGAACTGAAACACATAAAGGCTTTGAACCTATCTTGCTGAATTCATAGAGAGGTGCAGAGGTGTGGGTAGGGATTAGGAACAGCTGAATTACTCTGCAAAAGAAAACAGGAGGAATCTGCAAGGAAAAGGGCTGAAACCTATAGCTCACAACAGTGAAAACACTCATGGACCAGCAAGATGATTCTTAACCTGATCTGACTGGAGAAAAATAGGAGCTCAAAGCCAGAAGCAATGATGAGAAGGAAAAGTCTTCCCCACTCTCCATCCCCACTCCTAGAGGAATCTGGAATATTTTGAGGAAGAGCATCGGATCTCTCATAGATCTTGGAATGCATCTTTGAACAACTCTTAGCCAGCACCTAAAGAGCATCTGACCTCAGCTGACACGGCTCACCCGCTGGGAGCATGGCCATAGGTGTTGCCCCCAAGTTCCTTGACTTTAATGAGGACAACCACTGCCAAAGGAGGGTTCCTTCCTGCCTACTGTGCAATCTACTTCTCAGCAACCCAGCCTGGTCCTCCTTGGCAGGGAGGGGATTCCGTGGAGATCCCTGAAGTCAGTCGTTGGCGAGTAAGAGAGGGAGAGTAAGCACTGCAGAGATTCATTCGCCCTGTCTGGCTCTCACCATGACTCACTGCCATTTACTTATGGGTCATAAATCAGCCACTTGACTCCAGGATCCGAACACCTTTTGTCCTTTTTGTCTAAGAGCGAGCGATCAAAGGAAGGAGACGTGGTGCCCACTCTCAAGGCTGGAGAGTGGGGGCTCCTCTGTCTAGTTTGGGGAGAAACGGTTCCTGCCCTCAGGAAACTCCGAATTCCCGGAGGAAGCGTGCACATGGAGGACGCTGCGTGCCAACCAGCCAGTGGACAGAGAAATGGGGGCAGACGAGCATTGCACAAACACAGGCCACAATTAAACGGACGGGGCTGGAGGGGAGGTGCCAGCAGTCAGCTGGGGTCCAGCAGGAACCAGCTGGGAATTCTGAGCCTGAACTGGATTTGGAGGTCAGACAAGCCAATCCTGTATACTGTCTAGTACTGCACGAGGCATTCACAGGACTGCTGGCCTGCTGGCTCTTGGCCATTCCGCTTTCCCTCCCAGGTTTAACTGGAAGGGTCAGCTCGAGCAGGCTCACCACTTGCTTACAGACCAGAGGCCCAAAACAGCCGTTCACAGCCTTGGGAGCCAGGAGGCAAACACCAGATGACTCTGTTTACAAAGCTTCCACTTTTCAGCAGGGTCAAAGGGCATTCCCAGAGCAGCTGGGGGAGGCCCCAGAGAGGCAGGTTCTGGAGGCTGAGGCAACATGTGGGCCTCTGCTGCTGCCTTCTTCTGAAGGGGTACCCGAACAGGTTCTTCCAGGGCACAGAGTGACCACCCAGGATTCTGCACAACGCTTCCCCCTTTACAAAGCTGTTTTGCACCAACAAGTGGAAGGCTCATCTGATCCATAAGACAAGTATCCTCTATACTTTATGAGTAAGGAAACTGCGGCCCAAAGGCATTAGGAGGCTTAAGGTCAGCCAGCGGAGGCAAGGAGGTCCTTCCCACTAGGGCACACTGGCCTCCACATCACAGCCCTGGACTTTAGGGATGTGGGGGAATTAAGGAACGGAGTGCATCCCTTACAGGCCAAGTCCTCATCCGCATTTCAATCTCGCTCTGCACATGACATCTTGAGAAGCCCCAAAGAGGGAGGGTGCAGGGAGATAAAGCCTGGGAGGGAAGGCTGCGCGCCTGGGCACTCCCTGCCTTGGCTCTCAAACGACATGTAAAAGCCAGATCCTCTCTCCAAACTGGCTCACCTTTGCCCCTGCCTGCGAAGGGCCTGGAAAACGAGCGCGGGGCTGGGGACGCGGACAGCTGTCGCCCGGCCCCTCCGGAGTCCGCGCCCATATAAGGGCAGCGCTTCCCGTCGGCCGGGCAGTGACGAGCCGGGAACCACGTCAGCGGGTGGCGGGGAGGGGCGGGCACCGCGGCCCGAAAACAAGTGACGTCGCGCGTGACCGGGCCGCGGGGGGCGGCGGCGGCGGGGGGTGGGAGGGGGCCGCCGTCGGGGCCAACGTGGGTGCGACGCGGGGGTCGCGCGCGTGGGCACATTCTGTGCCCGGGGCTTGGGACGGCCGAGGGCGTCTGCAGTCTGTTTCGTCTCCGAGTGTCACTTCACTGACCGCGACGGTGCGCATTCTTACCCTGGGAGCCAGAAGAGGAGCTTTGCAGTGGGGTGGTTGGGGACCGTCGCGTCTCCATCTTCTTCCTCGCTAAACAAACAAAATGACTCACGGCCCTTGTGCCCCCGGAGACCCCCAGAACGTCTCCCTAGGGGCGCCACTGTAAGGGACGGGCTTCCCTTTTCCCGAGCCGCCTCCCACCCACCGCTGCCCGAGCGGAGTCAAATAAAAAGAGGTCTGGCTTAGGGGCTGACGGAGAAGAAGCCTTAAAAAGGAAGTTTTAGGGATGGTTAGTGCCACGCGGAGGACTGGAAACGGAAGAGACACCAAAGGACAGAGATTCAGGGCTCCATTTCCGCCAGGCTTCTTTATGGAGCCTTGGTGGGTGTGGGTGTGGGTGTGAGGGGTCGTTTCTAAGTCCCGCGGTGTTCAAGTGCAGCCTGTTGGAGTGTGGCCCTTGTAGTCCTGCCTGTGCCACTTGAAATTGTGAGGGGGCTTGGAGGGCAGTGATGAGGAAGGATTCCGAAGGGGGGGATGCGTTGCAGAGGGGGTGTAAGAGAAGTAAGATGCAGATGGGAAGAGCCAGAACCGAGCAGAGGCTCAGCCTGTGGTTGAGCAACTTGGCTTGCCCTTCTGGGGGTGGGGCTCAGGCATAGGGGAAAGTCCCCAGGGCCTCCCAAACTGTCCCTTCACACCCAGTGCTCACCCACCCCCTCTCCCTCCCCTATCTAAGGCCTACTTCCTCTCTTTACTTCCCCTGATAGAGAGTGGCTGGTGGAGCCTCCTGGGCTCCAAACCCCCAGCACAGAGAGAAAACGGGAGTCCGCGGCAGGGGCAGAGACAGTGGCCCTCCTCTGGGGCATCTGCCCAGGATTCGGCCAGTTTGCCTTGACTGCCCAGACCTAAGCTCAGGGTAATTAGCTGAAAATGGTTTTAAGGCTGGGAATGGAAGAGACTGCAGAGCAGAGGTCTTGCTTCCTTGGGGGGCCAGCATCCCGGGCGGCTGGATCATACCAAGGTGTCCTGCACACTGGTCCTGAGGGTGGGCTTTCAAGTCTTCGCTCTGCCACTCTCCATGAGGTCTTGGGCACATTCCTAACCTCCCCAAACCTCAAGACAAGGCATTGTCTGAAAAATAAGAATACGAGTATCTTATTGGTTCTTTTGAGGATTTAAAAGTGATCGTGCCTACAAAGCATGTCATACATATGAATCCCTTGTGTAATATTTATGCATCTGGCATGTAGAAAACAATAAATAGTAGCTGTTATTACTATTAGTAGCAGTAGCAGTGACTGAAGAAGGCCTCTCTAGGTCACCTACAGGGAAAGCTAGCCTGAGTTGTCAGGAGTTCCGGGGTCCCCCGCCCCTCAGCTTCCTTCTACCTCTAGTACCTCATCACCCAGACCACCTCTTCTTCTATCCGGGTCCCAGCCTGGCCTTGAAGAAAGAGCCGCGAGCATGGAAACACCATAGGTGTTCACATCCCGGCTGTGCCTCAATTTCCTTATCCCTGAAATAAGGAGTATACTTTCTGGCTGGCTTCTCTTATTGTGAGAGTCAAGGGAGTCCAAGTGTGTGCACATACTTTGAAGACTGTCCCCACCTACCAGTTCTCCGCCTGGAGACGTCTTCCTCCTTAGCCTCAGCTCCCGTTGCATTCCTATTCCTCCAGACCTGTCTCGCTGTTTTCACAGCCTCGGCCATTTTGGGCTCGGCCCGATGGATGGCTTTCCCTTCAGACCTTTAAACCTGACGGGTGGACACCTCCGCAGGGCAGGAGATAGGTCTTCTTTGTTTCACTGGGTGACACAGTGCCAAGCCCAGGGCAGGGCACACAGTAGGGGCTCAGTAAAAGCTAGTGTCCTTTCGTCTATCAGCAAATCCTAGGGAGGGAGGCCAAGGGAGGTGGCCCCCGCAGAATTTGGGGGAGCAGGCTTCTGTCCTCTGGGAGGCAGGGGTCGGGGATGAGAGGAGGACAGAGGAGGGAAGGCGCCATCCCGACTCAAGGATTCCTGCCTGCACTTCCCAAAGCCCAGGGTCCCTGCCGTCAGTCCAAGGGCCATGTCGTTGTGCAGACTGGTTTTACTCTAGGTTCCCAGGGCGGAAAACCTCTCGCCCCCTGCATTCCATTCCTCTTGGGGAGGAGAGCAGACATCAGGCTGAAAGGGAAGTGCTTGGGCAACAGGTTCCATTTCCTCACAGCTGCAGCACTACCCCAAACTCCTCCGCTCCCCCAGCCGCACCCCCCCCCCCCCCCGACCCCAGGTCACCAGGTTCCTCGGGTTCCTGGGTGCTGGCTCCGGAAACAGGAAACAACTGTCCTCCGGCTGATGGGTTTAAAGTGGGATTGGCTTTACCTCACCCTTACCTCTGGCCACCAAAGACCTTGGCACCGCCCTGCTTCCCTCAGGCTAGACCCTGGCCCTGGGCAGAGCGTGTCGATTGCCCCCTGAGCTAGCTGTCTCCCCACCCTTCTCCTGGGGTGCTCTGCCTGCCGCTGAGCCCGCCCCGACCCGTCCTCACTGGGTGATCGGATCACTTCCGGCTCAGGCCCTGAGTGCTCCGGGCTGTTCCTGTGCCGTCTGGCCACCGGCTCTCATCAGTGTGGCCCCCTGCACACTCACTTCTTAGCACCAGGACTTTGCATCTGCAGGGGGCCTTGCCCAAGGCCGGGAGGAAGCTGCTTCTATAGAAGCCAAGAGTTCACGCTGCGGGAGGGCTGGGCCTCCACGTAGGGGAAAGGATGTGAGTCAGAAGCCCTGGGTTCACTGCCTCTCAGAAGCCTCTCCGAGCCTACTGTCCTCCTCTGGGGGCGACGAAGCCTGCTTACTGCTTACAGTGGCCCGCAGATCAGATGAGATGCGGCTGTGAAGGCGTCTCGTGAACAGTGCTGGCACATGCCTTATTTCTGCCTGTCACCCCCCCACCTCACCCCCTGCCACCCAGAGGCCCGGTCACTGCCAGCCGCCATCTCTAGAAGGGGCCCTCCTTCCCTCAAACCTAAATCAAGTCTCCCCTCCTTGGGCAGCTGAGTGCATCTCACTACGTCTCCTCAGGGCTCACGTACTCAAATCCTGCCACCGACGGGTACACCTGTTGCTTGTGGGGTGCGGAAAATATCCTCAAGTTTTTTTCCATGGTCTTTGTGCTTGTCTTATCTGCTCCTGCCAGTCCTAGCGTCAGGAGAATAAAAGCTTGTTCCTTGTTGATCCATAGCCGGCCGGTACCTCTTTGCCCCCCACAGCACAGGGTCACAATAAATGTAGTGAATCGAAGTGTGTCGTTTTGAGAGGGCACACAGCCAGACAGCTCCGTGGGGCAAAATTTTATTTCTACCACTTAGGACTTTGTAGACAAATCACTCTCTGGCTGTAGAGGGGTTTTGTGTATTTATTTTCCTCATGTATTAAGCTAATTTGGGATTCACTGGGCATTCAAGAAGGCAGCTGCCTGCCCCAGGAGCCCAGAAAACCAAGAAGAGCCGGGCCTTCAGCAGAGGGGCTGGGGAAATCCCTCCTGTTAGAGAAGGACAAAGGTCTCAGGTTTTCAGCTCTCAGTGGGCTGCCCTGCCCAGCTGGTCTTGCCTCTCGGAGGCGTGGCAGAGGGCAAGCGCCCCAGCAGCTCCCCGTCTGAAAGCTATCACTGCCTGTGTCCATGAGCTGCCCATGTTGCTGGGGCAGATGAGCCTTTGAGGTGGGAAGAAGCCCTTTTCAAATAAATGCCCTACTGCCCCAGGGAGCAGAAGTTTCTAGAAGACACAGCATAGCTTCATTCCTAGCTTATCAAGCAAACGTAGAACTGGGTGGGATGGAGAGGTGTTTTGAATCTCCCTCCAAAGGTCCAGAGAAATTTCTTTGGGGTTGATCATCGTAACAAGTGTTGCCCCTCACCCAGCAGGCTCCCCAGAGTTGTCGAGTAGAATCAAAATTGTGTGATGAGGAGTCAGGGGCTTGGGCTGCTCTGTCAAACTGCCTGGGTTCAAACCTTAGCTTGAACAAGTTACCTAATATTCTCTGTGCCTCGGTTTCCTCATCTGTAAGGTGGGAATTACAAGAGTATCACGTAGGATTCTTTGTGACTAATGAGGTGATAGCACTCAATAACACTCAGGGCCCTATAAATACGGTCATTATAGGACCTTACTCAAGAGGCCTGCTAATCTATTTCTCTGCTGTTATGAAATGAAGTTCTCTCCCCAATTCAGACGCCATTGAACTGATTCAAGCATTTACATAGGTATTTCTTCTGGCTTCTGAACTCCAGGCTCAGCAAGAAGACAATGCTCAGCCCCTTCCTATGGACTATGGAGAGCACAGGAATGTCCACCACCAACAATGGGGGGATAACAGCCACTCTGGGGGCCTGGGAGGTAGAAGGTCGGAGGATTTTTTCAGTGTAAGAAATCTGCCTGGCCAGGGCGCCTGGGTGGCTCAGTTGGTTAAGTGTCTGCCTTTGGCTCGGGTCATGATCCCAGGGCCCTGGGATCGAGCCCCGTGTGGGGCTCCCTGCTCGGCGGGAGGCTTGCTTCTCCCTCTCCCACTCCCCCCGCTTGTGTTCCTGCTCTTACTGCCTCTCTCTCTGTCAAATAAATAAATAAAACCTTAAAAAAAAAAAAGAAAGAAAGAAAGAAATCTGCCTGGCCAAGTGTCCCTGACTTGATTCAGTTCCTCATTAGCCAAATATTTTTTATATTGATAGTATTTATCTCCCAGAACTTTCACATTTATGGTATTACATGATCTTCACGATGAACCCACAGGATAAGCTGTAAAGAACTTATCAGAGAAGCTGGCTGGGACTGGATCTCCCACTCCCGACCTCCGCTCTGGCAGGCCACTCAGGGGCGAGGAGGGGCCCAGCCAGCCCGGCCCCTGGGTCACCCCACTGAGGAGGCTGTGAGGTGGCTCCATGGGGGTAAAGTTCAGGGTCCCACAGTAACAGGGTGACTCAATAACAGATGGATTCCGTGGGTTCTTTGGGGGCAATGTGTAGGGAAAGGGCTCATCCTCTCCCCTCCTCAAACCCTCCCACTTAACCCCTGACCTCCCAGAGTCCAGGGAGTATGTGGTGCAATTGCTAGAACCAAGACTGAAGGGCGGAGTACCCTTTTATCCTGCAAACAAGGAATTCTGGGTGCTCCAGGGGCCATGGTGCAGGCCTAGACAGCCGGAGAGCTGCCCGGGTCCAGGTTCACCCTGAGCTGATTCTGTGTCAGTCACGTAACTCCTCTAGGTCCCTGGGCGAGGAACAGGGTCCTCCCCTGCTCACAGGGGATGGGTGCAAAGCCTCCTGGTCCCAGCC